TGAATTCAACAATATATTAAAAGATCATACACCATGACTGAAGGGATTTATTCCAGGGATGCAAGGGTACTTCAACATCCACAAATTAATCAATGTGATACACCACATTAACCAAATGAAAGATAAAAATCCTATGATCATCTCGATACAGAAAAACATTTGACAAAATCCAACATCTGTTCATAGTAAAAATACTCAACAAAGTTGATAAGAGGAAACACACCTCAACATAATAAAGACCATATATGACAAGTCCACAGCTAACATCATACTCAGGGTAAAAAGCTGAAAGCTTTTCCTCTAAGATCAGAAACAAGACAAGGATGCCCACTATCCCCACTTTTATTCAACATAGTAATGAAAATCCCAGCCAGAGCAATTAGGCAAGATAAAGAAATAAAAGGCATTTTATTTCAAATCAGAAAGGAAGAAGCAAAACTGTCACTATTTGCAGATGACATGATCTTATATATAGAAAACCCAGGGGTGCCTGGGTGGCTCAGTCGGTTAAACACACGACTCTTGATTTTGCCTCAGGTCATGATCTCAGGGTTGTGAGATCCAGCCCTGCACTGGGCTCTGTGTTGGGCATGGAGCCTGCTTAAGATTCTCTCCCTCCTGCCCCCTACATGCATGCTCTCTCTCTCTGAAAAAAAGAAAAGAAAACCCAAAAATGGGCGCCTGGGTGGCTCAGTCGTTAAGCGTCTGCCTTCGGCTCAGGTCATGATCCCAGGGTTCTGGGATCGAGCCCCCCATCGGGCTCCCTGCTCAGTGGGAAGCCTGCTTCTCCCTCTCCCACTCCCCCTGCTCGTGTTCCCTCTCTTGCTGTGTCTCTCTCTATCAAATAAATAAATAAAATCTTTCAAAAAAAAAAAAAAACCAAAGACATCACCAAAAAACTGTTAAAATAAATGAGTTCAGTCAAGTTGAGGGTAGAAAATAAATATACAAAATCTGTTACATTTCTGTACACCAATAACAAACTATCAGAAAGAGAAATTGAGAAAACAATCCCACTTACAATTGCATCAAAAAGAATAAAATATCTAGAAATAAATTTAACAAAGGAGGTGGAAGACCTGTACACTAAAAACTATAAGACATTGATGAAAGAAATCGAATAAAACAAATAAATGGAAAGATATTCTGTGCTCATGGATGGAAGAATTAATATTGTTAAAATGTCCACACTAGCCTTTTACCTCGTTGCATCTGAGAGAGCAAAATGGGTCACCAGCAGCTGTACTGGAGCCATCCAAGGAAATTTGGCCAGGGTTCTCGTTCTTGCCGCGTCTGCTCAAACCGGCACAGTCTGATCCAGAAATACGGCCTCAATATGTGCCGCCAGTGTTTCCGTCAGTACGCAAAGGACATAGGCTTCATTAAGTTGGATTAAGTGAACTTCCTTGAATTGGTCATCCAGGATAACCTACCTTAACTGCAGATACCCAAGATACCTACTTTAATGCCAACACATTGTACATAAAATAAAAATACTTCAATTATGAAAAAAAAAAATGTCCACACTAAGGGCGCCTGAGTGGCTCAGTCAGTTAAGTGTCTGCCTTCAGCTCAGGTCGTGATCCCAGGTTCCTGGGATCTAGTCCTACATTGAGCCTGCTTCTCCCTCTGCCTCTGCCTCTCTCTCATGAATAAATAAAATCTTAAAAAAAAAAAAGTCCACACTACTCAAAGCAATCTATATATTCAATGAAATCCTTGTTGAAACCCCAATGGCATTTTTCCCTGAAATAGACAATCCTGGGGTGCCTTGGTGGCTCAGTAGGTTAAGTGTCTGCCTTCAGCACAGGTTGTGATCCCAGGGTCCTGTGGTAGAGCCCCACATCAGACTCCCTGCTCAGCAGAGAGTCTGCTTCTCCCTATTCCCTCTGTTCATGCTGTCTCTCACTCTCCCTCGCTCAAATAAATAAAATCTTTTTTAAAAAATAAAAGAAATAGACAATCCTAAAATTTGTATGGAACCACAAAAGACCCCAAATAGCCAAGGCAATCTTAAAAGAACAAAGCTGGAGACAATATGCTCTCTGATTTCAAACTATATTACAAAGCTATCGTAATCAAAACAGTATGTATTGACATAAGAGACACAGAGATCAATGGAACAGAAAAGAGAGCCCAGAAATAAACCCACAATAAATTAATCTATGACAAGGGGGATTAAATGGGTGATGGGGAGTCAAAAGGTACAAACTTCCACTTACAAAAATAAATCACCTTGCCAAGGCGCTCCCTTCACAGAGCACCCTGGGAAACCCCAACGGGTGATCCACCTCAGCTCCAGCCACCCAGCCAGGGCACCCCCTCCAAGTAGACCCCAGAAACCCCTGGCCCATACCTGCCTTGACTCAAGCCACCCCACCAAGGTGTCCCCTATGCTGAACACCCCAAGACACCCCAGCTTATACTCACTTCAGCTTCAGCTGTCCTGCCAGGGTACCCTCTGCACAGAGAGCCCCAGGACTGCCCTGGTCCACGCCTACTTCAGCCTCAGCTGTCCTGCCAGAGTGCCCTTTGTACAGAAGGCCCTACCTGAGGTCTCGGCCAATAGCATCAACCACCAAACCTGTGAGCAGGCTTTCAGATCAATATTGACCAATAGAAATATAATGTGAACCCCAAAGGTGGGTCTCATATGTAACTAAATTTTCTAGCAGACACATTAAAATCATTTTAAATAACTCTAATATATTTAATTTAACCTATATATCCAAAATATCATTTTGACCTGTAATAACATTAAAAAATTATTGAGATATTTTAGTTTCTTCACACTATGTCTTCAAAATCCAATGTATGTCTTACACTTACAGCACATCTCAATTCAGACCAGCCTCTTTTTAACTGCTCATTAGCTCCCTGTGGCTACTGACTGTGACAGCGGCAAATGATTCAACCATGCAACCATTCAGTCCATTCCAGCCTTGAGTCTTCCCAGCTGAGACCCAAATGTCATACAGTTAGAAAATTGTTCCTGCTATGCTCTTTCTGAATTGTTGATACAAAATCTGTGAGCATAACAAAATGGTAACTAAATCTGGGTGGCTTTTTATGTACCAATAGCAACTGGGATACCAGTCTTTGAAAGTTCTATAACTTACTTAAACATTTTCCTATCCTAGGTGTTTTTCCCACCTCTTTCTAGGGCTTTATTATAAACAACGCTATGATGAGCAATACAATCTCTGTAAGCTAGTCGAATTATTTGAGAGTGGCTCTTCTGGGTCAATGGGAGCATACATTTAGATTTACATTCACATTGTCAAACTGCTATCCAAAGCTTAACCAGTTTTCACTAATAACACACATATTCCCAACTGTGCTTCTAATTAATACTAGCCCTTTTCTAGTTTAAGTTGAATGTTCAGTTCCTTTCTGTTCCATAAAATTCATCAATAATCTTGCTTTATCTTATATTTTAAACTACCAGTGATATATTTGTGTAATAAAAGATTGAACTAATGCACAAACGGATCCTACATCATTACACAATTTGGCTCTTTTCCCACTTAAGTCTTAGACATCTTTCCCTGTTAATTAAAAAATTAATTCATTAAGGGCACCTAGGTGGCTCAGCCAGTTAAAGGTCTGACTTCAGCTCAGGTCATGATTTCAGGATCCTGGGATCGACCTCCACTCAGCAAGGGAATCTGCTTCTCCCTCTCCCTCTGCCCCTCCCCCCGCTCATGCTCACTCTCTCTAATAAATAAATATTTTTAAAAATTAACTCAGGGCACCTGGGTGGCTCAGTCGTTAAGCATCTGCCTTTGGCTCAAGTCATGACCTCCAGGATCCTGGGATCGAGCCCCGTATCGGGCTCCCTGCTCAGCGGGAAGCCTGCTTCTCCCTCTCCCACTCCCCTGTTTGTGTTCCCTCTCTTGCTGTGTCTCTGTCAAATAAATAAAATCTTTAAAAATATGTATTTTAAAAAAAATAAAACAAAATAAAAAATTAACTCATTAAATGTTAATTGATTAACTGAATGACTGCTTTGTAATTGTTATATATTAAATGACTGCATGGTAGTCCAATGAATGCATGTATCTTAATTTAACCATTGCCCTGGTGATAGATACTATGGTGACTCCAACTTTTCATTAATGTAGTGCTCTAAAGACCATCTTTACTCTTTATTGGATTTTAAGAAGTAGAAATGTTAAGTCAAAGAGTAGCTTTCTAAAAGTTGGTCGATACAGTCAAATTATGCTTCTCATCACCAAACACTTCATTAATTCACAATTCCTTCAACGACATGTAGGTGTGCCTATTTTCTTGCACCTTCATAAGCACAAAATATTTTTATCTTATAAATTTTTGCCAAATAGGACAAAAAAATTTTGATCATTTTCACATTTCTCTAAAGCTGGTTATCTCTTTTTGACTACTTGTGCTTGTTTTTTCTGACAACTGTATATTCATATTCCAAACCATTTCTCCACTGGGATTTTTATATTATTCTTTTTTTAAAGATTTATTTATTTTAGAGAGAGTGAGTGCATAGGGGGGAGGGGAAGAAGGAGAGCAGGGGAGAGAATCTAAAGCAAACTCCCCGCTGAGCAAGGAACCTGAGGCAGGGCTTGATCTCACAGCCTGAACTGAAATCAAGAGTAGGACATTTAACCGACTGAGCTACCCAGGCACCTCTGGGATTTTTATATTATTCTTATGTATCTTTATGAACTCTTTAGATATTCTAAGTATTATTTGTTATAATATGATGATGGTAATATTATTCTACCCAAGTCTGGTTCTTTGTATTTTAACACCATGAAGCCTCTGATCATACAAAAGTTTTTAGTTTTTGTGTGTGTGTGTGTGTGTGTGTTTTATGGCTTCTGAATTTCCTTATTTAGAAAGACAACTGTGTTAAATTATAGAAGATATATGAATATATATGTGATTAAATATTTCAAAAAACAAAGCCAAAGTCAAAATTTCACTTCATCATACCAATAAAAACATTCTTCTCAAAGATAACAACTTTTGGACTTTTATTTTACCAGCTCTTTTTGAATATACAGGACATATATGTACAAATAAAAACAGCTTCATTTTTTAAAATATAAATTAGACCACAATATGTAGATTTTCTGCAACTTGCTTTTTTAACTTGAACAAGGTATCATGGGGATATTTCTATGGTTCTATATAGAGTTCTACCTCATTCTTTTTACTTCCTACATAGTGTTCTATAGTAACTATTTCCATATTGACAGACATTTACGTTCTTCAAATATTTCACTAATACAAACCATACTACAGTGAACATCCTTACAAGTGAGAAGTTCTCCAGGATAGAGGTACACAGACTATTTTTCTTAAATGTGTGATTTGTTGAGTGTTTCCTCTTTGATGGTCAAAAGGAATAAACTACTTCTGCATGATCTACCACACTAACTACATTTGATGGCTCTTTCTTCGTTATGCATTTTCTTATGTTGTTTAAGGGCTGAACTCTGGGGAAAAGCCTTCCCACACACATTACATTCATAAGGTTTTTCTCCAGTATGGATTCTCTGATGTTCAACAAGGCCAGAGCTATGCCTGAAGGATTTCCCACATTTCTTACAGTAATAGGGCTTTTCTCCAGTATGAATTCTCTGATGTCCAATAAGGGTTGAGCTCTTCGTAAAGACTTTCCCACAGTCGTTACATTGATAGGGTTTATTTCCACTATGAGTTTTCTGATGTCCAGCAAAGGATGAGCTATACCTAAAAGATTTTCCACATTTACTGCAGTGATAGGGTTTCTCTCCTGTATGCATTCTTTGATGACTAACGAGAGTTGAGCTCTTCCTAAAGGTTTTTCCACATTCATTACACCGATATGGTTTTTCACCAGTATGGATTTTCAAATGTTCCAACACAGTTGAGTTATCCCTAAAAGTTTTCCCACATACATTACATTCAAAAGGCTTCTCTCCACTATGTATTCTCTCATGACGAGTAAGGGCTACATTCTGAGCAAAGGCTTTCCCACAGTCATTACATTTGTAGGGTTTCTGACCAGTATGAATTCTCTGATGACGTAAAAGGATAGAGTTCTTTCCAAAAGCTTTTCCACATTCATTACATTTATGAGGTTTCTCTCTAGAATGAATTTTCTGATGATTAACAAATGTTGAGTACTTCTTAAGGAATTTCCCACATTCAATACATCTATAAGGCTGCTTGCCTGTGTGAATTTTACGATGATTTAAAAGAGATGAACTGCTCATAAAGGCTATGCCACATTCATTACATTTATGGGGTTTCTCACCAGTATGATTTCTCTGGTGGCTAATAAAGGAGGAATTATATTTGAAGACTTTCCCACATTCCTCACATTTATAATGTGTCTTCTCTGTGGAACTTCTGCCCTCCCAGTCCAGGCCTCTTTCCATCACGTCACTTTTTGTTTGCTCTCCCAGATCAGATCCTTCAGAAGTATGTTGCTTTAGGGGGGACATCTTTGTTTCAAACCAGTACTCCTGGACTGAAAAATTTTTTTTTAATTCAAACATTCTCTATGTTGAAATACTGAAAGTTGAGAGCTACACAGGATAAGAATTTTCTATTCTACACAACTAAGGGTTATGTAAAATTAATTCATCCCACTTGTGATTCGTGTTAAGAAAAGATGGCAAGAATAAAGACAAAAGTCTAGAGAAATGGAATGAAGTTATATAATAAACACTGTATTTAAAGAATGCAAGGAGCATCTAAGAAGTTGGCAAGTTAGGAAGGTAACACAGAAAACACATCTCCCCCCAAAAATAGATGAGAATGTGAGAATAAACACAAATTTGGAGAGAAAACCAAATATCCCAAAGCAAACCATGATTGCTAGGGCAGATTCCTATAGGGTGGTACATTTGAGAACACCTTAATGTCTCCAAAAACTTAAGAATAACATTTCTCTGAGAATTTAACAGAGAACCAATACTTAGTGTCTCAGAGAAAAAAATAGACAAAATATTTAAGGAACCAAAACAGTTCTCAGGCCAAAAAATTGTACTGTAATCTATGTTTTTTAACATATCTTAAAAAGAACATACCAATCAAATTGTGATCTTTTTTACAAAGTACACACCTATGACCCAACAGAAAATAGGTAAGACGATTATGACAAGTAGATTCTCAAAAACTAATGGAGCCAAATTTATGATAAAACAATCACTGATCAATTCTTTTACTGAATGAATTTTTCTTATATACACACATATACATTTACATTCATATATTTTATTATTTATATTTATTAGCCAGGGGAGAGATTCCATACATCTGATACTAGAGCTAAGACTTATTTTTTTTTTAGGAAAACTCAAGTTGAAAATGAAGCCTGTGAGAAACAGCCCAGATCCTTCAAATGGTATATCCCCCTTTGATGGGATATACATTTAATGTGTAATGATTAAACTAGAGAAAACTTTAAGATACTGATTGTAAAGGAAGGTGGAGGCAAATTAGTCATATGAAGAGAAACGCAAGCATATGGACACTTGTTCTATAACAAAGGTAGCTTGCAGAGCACTGAGGAAGACTACACTGGCACTTGTGAGGTGTGGAGGGGGTGGTTAAACATGAACCCTACCTCTTCCCATGCACAAAAATCAATTCTAAGAGGACAATAAATCTAAAAATAAAAGACAAACAATAAAACTTCTAGGAGTTGGGGCGCCTGGGTGGCTCAGATGGTTAAACGTCTGCCTTCGGCTCAGGTCATGATCCCAGGGTCCTGGGATCAAGCCCCACATCGGGCTCCTGACTCAGCCGGGAGCTTGCTTCTCCCTCTCCCTTTGCCTCTCCCCCTGCTCATGCTCTCTATCTCTGTGTCTCAGATGAATAAATAACATCTTTAATAAAAAAAAAAAAAAACTTCTAGGAGTTAACACAGAAGAATGTTTTCATGAATGTGGGGAAAGGAAAGATTTATTTAAAAGGACACAAAAAGCACTGACAAGAAAGGGAAAGACTGATAAACTAGAGATTATTAAAATTAAGAACTTCTATTCATCAAAAGACCATTAATAGTCAAAAGCAAACCACAGAGAGAACGGTGATACCGCATATTTAATCAACAAAGGGCTCTCTGAATTGATAATTCATAAAAGATGATATATAATGGCCAATTAACATTTGAAAATGTCCTCAACCTCATTATATATAAGGGATAAGGATATTAAAACCCCATTGAGATACATAACACACCCAAAGAATGCCTAACTTCAAAAGACTGGCATTACTGTGTGAGTACTCTCACACAGATGGTAGAAATATAAATGGCACAAACCTTTCAAAAACTATTTGGCATTATGTACTAAAGTTGAACATATGCATATCCCATAAAATAAAAATTCCACTCCTTAGGTATATGTCCAAAAGAAACGTATCCACACATGAACCAAAAGATAACCTATAAGAATGTTCATAGCAACTCTAACAGTCAAAAGCTGGAAATATCCCAAATATCCATCCACATATATGAGATAAGCTATGGAATAGCCATACAATGAATAAAATACTCCAGCAGTGGTTTTCCAAGCATGGTCCCCAGCCCAACAGCATCAGCATCAGCATCACCTGGGAACTTGCTAGAAATTTTCAGTTCACACTCCAAACCTACTGAATAAAAAACTCTGAGGGTGGGATCTAGTAATTGAACTTAAGCATGCTTTCTGATGCATATTAAAGTTTTAAGAATCACTGATCCACAGCAAGGACAATGAATTAAAGTGGCCAAATAAACTTTAGTGTTAGTTTAGGGGCGTGGAGGGAGGATGGCTAATTATTGGGAGGGATCAACATGTGATTTAGTAGTATTGCCAATGTTCTTTTCTTTGACCTGAGTGCTGGTTACATAGTAGTGGCTTTAAAAACACTTAATTCAGACTGGATATATATATTTATCAACTTTTCTATATATATATTAAATTTTTAAAAGGCTTTAAGAAAGAAAAAAAGGAAGGGTAGCTTATGAGTCTCTTAATACTTGATCAGAGAAATCAAAACACAAATTGCAAAATATCTAATAATCATGAAAACCATATCAGAATCTATTGAATACAACCAAAACACTGCACAAAAGTTTAAAGCTCTAAATATTTATATTACATAAACAAGAATGAAAATCAATGAATTTAAGTAAACAATTAAGAGGGTTAGAAAAAGTAAATAAACCTAAGAAAACAAAAGGGAAAAGGAATTAAATATTAAAAAACAAAAAATAATAATACATAAATACATCTAAGAGCTCTTTTAAAAAGCAGAAGAGTTGGGGCGCCTGGGTGGCTCAGTCAGTTGAGCAACTGCCTTCGGCTCAGCTCGTGATCCCGGAGTCCTGTGATCAAGCCCCATGTTGGGCTCCCTGCTCAGTGGAGAGCCTGCTTCTCCCTCTCCCTCTGCCTGCCTCTCTGCCTACTTGTGCTCTCTCTGTGTCAAATAAATAAATAAAATCTTAAAAAAATAAAAAATAAAAAGCAGAAGAATTAATAAATCTTAAAAAGACAAATAAATAATGTAAGAAATCAGTAGAAAGTAACCATAAATGTAGAGGATATTACAAAAAGAATCAGAGGGGTACCCAGCTGGCTCAGGTGGAAGAACACACGACTCTTGATCTCAGGATCATGAGTTTGAGCCCCGCACTGAGTGTAGAGATTACTTAAAAAGATAAACTTTTGGGCGCCTGGGTGGCTCAGATGGTTAAGCGTCTGCCTTCGGCTCAGGTCATGATCCCAGGGTCCTGGGATCGAGTCCCGCATCGGGCTCTCTGCTCCTTGGAAGCCTGCTTCTCCCTCTGCCTCTCTCTCTCTGTCTCTCATGAATAAATAAATAAAAATCTTTAAAAAAAAAAAAAAAAGATAAACTTTTAAAAAATAAATAAATAAAAATCAAAAAGAATCATAAAGGCAGGGTACCTGGGTGGCTCAGTCAGTTAAGCATCTGCCTTTGGCTCAGGCCGTGATCCCAGGGTCCTGGGATCAAGTCTCATGTTGGGCTCCCTGCTCACTGGGGAGTCTGTTTCTCCCTCTCCTCTACCCCTCCCCCCCAGCCAGGGCTCCCCCCTCCCCCGCTCCTCAAATAAATAAATTAAATTTAAAAAGAAAAACAAATCATAAAGGCTACTTTGTTCAAAACTATAGAGATAATTTGAGAACCTGAATTACTGGATATTTTTAGTAAATTGTAAATTATCAAAACTGTTTTGAGAGAGAGCAAAAATCTACTTGGACAAGCTACCATAAAAGAGAGATTATCATCAAATAACTACCCCCTAATTCCTCTCCCCTGCTCCCTGCCATTAAAAATAAGTAAAAACCGGGGCACCTGACTGGCTCAGTTGGTTAAGCATCTGCCTTCGGCTCAGGTTGTGATCTCAGGGTCCTGGGATCGAGCCCCACATTGGGCTCCCTGCTCAGTGGGAAGCCTGCATCTCCCTCTCCCTCTGCCTGCATCTCCCCCTGCTTGTGTTCTCTCTCTCTGTCAAATAAATAAATAAAATATTTAATAAATAAAAAATAAAAAAATAAGTAAAAACAAAACAAGGGCCAAACTTTCAGGGAACCAGCTATCATGTGAATTAAACTATACCAGATGATGAAAATAGGAAAGATCCAAAAAAATTTTTAAGAGGTATTACAAAACTGAAATCAAAACCTAATGAAAATGGCCTGACAAAAAAGAAAAATGTAAATAAACTTTTTATAAATATCAGTGCAAAAACTTACATAAAAGGTTAGCAAACAGAATCATTTACTGTCATAACCAAGACGGTTCTATTAAGAATGCAAAGTTGTTAAGATAACTGAAGATAAAATTTACCATATTAACAGATCAAAAGGGAAAAGAAAGATACCCTCTCCACACAGGCTGAAAAGGCATTTGATAAAATTCAATGCCCGTGCTTACTTTAAAAAAAGTAATTTCTTAATGAAAGTGAATTAAATACTTCCTTTACATAATAACATTTATGTATCCCAACCCAATAACCAGCTAAATGGGAGAATCCTAGACACAATCCCATTAAAGACACAAAAAGACAAGCATATCCATTTTGTATTGTTGACAATACAAAAAAAGTCAATATAAAATTTTTAAAAAATCCATCCTCAACTACACTCCTAATAAGAGGAATGCAAATTAAAATTACAATAAAAGTTTTTAGCTATCAGATTGGCAATTATCAAAAAGTATAAGACACTGTTGACAAGGTATGATCAGACTGGCACTCATATGTTGTCAATAGGAGTATAAATGTATGGATACTAGTATTATCCACTAAATTTTAAAATATACTTACCCTTTCATGTATAAATTCTTGTTCTAGAATTTATCTTATATATTTACTTGTACTTGAGAGAATTGATATGTGTATCAATAATCACTGCATCACTGTTCATAGCTACTATGTCCAATAGGGAACTGATTACTTAAGTTACAATATAGCCATAAAATGGAACACTATACAACCATTAAAAAATAAAACAGCACTCTAAATGATGTAGCTATGTGAAATGATTTCCAAGATATGACAAAAGCAAGACACAGAATAGTGTACTACCATGTACTTAAAAAAAAAAAAAGGAATACATGTATATTCTTGCAAAGCATACATTATACCTAGAAATTTCCACAAGAAATTTATATAAAGATGCCTCTGAGGAGAGGAACTGGATGATTAAGAAAGGTATATGAAGGGCACCTGGGTGACTCAGTTGGTTAAGCGACTGCCTTCGGCTCAGGTCATGATCCTGGAGTCCCGGGATCGAGTCCCGCATCGGGCTCCCTGCTCAGCGAGGAGCCTGCTTCTCCCTCTGACCCTCCCCACTCTCATGTACTCTCTCTCATTCTCGCTCTCTCAAATAAATAAATAAATCTTTAAAAAAAAAGAACGGTATATGAAGGCTGCATACCATTTGAACCATCTGAATTTTATACCATACGCATTTCTAAAAACCAATAGAGTGGAATATGCAAAAAAGGAGGGGGAAGTGTGAAACATGGAATTATTGTGGAATCTTTGCATAAAGATGTATTACCTTCCAAATGGATGGAAGAAATATCAAAGGAAACACTGCTAGCTTTTACTACATCTAAATTCTAAACATCTTATATCAAAAAATACCAAAATTAAAACAGAAAGAACAAAGAATAAGGAAGGCTGAGTTACTGTTGTTACCCTATAAAGAATCTACAAAGGGGTGCCTGGATGACTCAGTCAGTTAAGCATCTGCCTTGGGCTCAGGTCATGATTTCAGGGTCCTGGGGTCAGCCCGGGAGTCAGGCTTCCTGCTCAGCGGGGAGTCCTCTTCTCCCTCTCCCTCTGCCCTTCTGCCCTCTGCCCCCTGCTAATGCACACACTCTCTCTCTCTCTCAAATGAATAAATAAAATCTTTTTGGAAAGGGGCGCCTGGGTGGCTCAGTCGTTAAGCGTCTGCCTTCGGCTCAGGTCATGATCCCGGGGCCTGGGATCGAGTCCCACATCGGGCTCCTTGCTCAGCACAGAGCCTGCCTCTCCCTCTGCCTGCCTGCCACTCCCCCTGCTTATGCTCTCTCTCTCTCTCTCTCTGTGTCAAATGAATAGATAAAATCTTTAAAAAAAAAAAATCTTTTTGGAAAAAAAGAATCTACACAATAATTTAGGGGAAAATTTAGTTAAACGTAGTAAGAACAAAAAGAATTACTGAAAAGCATTAAAAAACAAAACAAAGCCAAAAACCTAGGTTAAACAAATTATGTATCCTTGGTATTTTCCATGAAATACAGTTATAAAAGTTTCTCTGAGGATGATATAGGCAAAATGACAGAGTTTTTTAAAAAAGGAATATTGGCAGGATAAATATTTTAGGTGAGAGAAACATCCATGTTCAAAGATTTTGAAATGAATTATGACACAAAGAAAGTGACATACAGAAATTTATGCAAAGTATATGTAAAAAAAAAAAATGAGAGTCAAGAGTAAAGCATAACAGAAGAGAAATTTAAAAAGACTACAGGGAAGAAAATGCTTCCCCATCAGTTTGTTTGCCAAAAATAGTAATTATCTGATAGGAAACTATGCTTACACTTGGAATCTGCCACTGTCACTATATGATTAGAGATAATGGATATTAAAACTAGAAAGGGATATACAGTCATTTACGAAGCTAACCATGACAGAATTTGAAAGGAATTGAGAATGCAACAGAAGACAGAAACAAAGTATAGCCTGACAAGTGCCTGAAAATGGGGAGGGGGAAAAAACACATAAAGAGACTGAGGATTTCAGAGCAAGAGGTCATGGGCCTGAGGCCCTCGAGAAGGGAGAAGCTCTCCATAGGAATGAAGAGAAAAATGGCAAGTCATTTGACACGACAATGACATTAAAAAGAGGAAACTTGTGTCAAGTGCCCCAGCCCTGCTGCCCAGACATGGGCCCTCTAAGATGAGCCTTCTGACCAAGAACCCCTCCTCACCATTCAATGTATTCAGCTGCTGCTTGAAATGGCTCCCACCTCACTCACCAGAGCAAGTATCTGATGGAATCTGTTGTACTTCCATCCATGGCTCTGCCCCTTGCTCCAACTGGGTGATTAGTTTGGGTTTGGAAGAGAGAAGTCCTATTAGTACAGAAAGAAAAGGAATGTGACTGTGGTGATGAGCAAAAGCAGCTATCCCAGACCTCAATCTCAGGGTGGCCTATAGGGTGGTATCAGGATGTCCAAATCATGTAGTTATAGACATGTACATGGAAAAATTTAGAGAACTGGGCTAGACTGCACACAAAGCTACCATCTTAAACTCTGTATGGCTCTTTCTGAGGGACAGAATGAGCATTAACTCCAGCCTCTAAGTCCATGTTAAAAACAAACAAACAAAACCTCCCATTTAAGATTTTTAAATACCCTATATACCCTGTGAAAACCCACAGTTGCCCAGGAAATCAATTTTGAGTTAAAAAGACATCCTTACGGGGTACCTGGGTGGCTCAGTTGGTTCAGAGTCCGCCTTCAGCTCAGGTCATGATCCTGGGGTCCTAGGATCAAGCCCCCTGTCAGGATCCCTGCTCAGTAGGGAGTCTGCATCTCCCTCTCCCTCTGCCCCTCTCCCCTGCTCGAGTGCACCCTCATGTTCTCTCTCTCTCTCAAATAAATAAAATCTTAAAAAAAAAAAAAAAAAGACACCCTTACCCACAGACACCAGATTCCCGTAGTTTTCCAGCATCACATCCCTGTACAGGGCTTGCTGAGTGGCATCCAGGTGTTTCCATTCAAACTGGGTAAAGGCCACAGCTACATCCCCAAATGTCAGTGATCCCTGCAAAATCAAACCCAATTCTGCTCATCCAGGAACTGTTTACACCCTTGACCCTGAAGTAGAGAACCAGGCAGTCCTCACTATAAAAGGAAAATAACACATTCAAGGCCAGCTTCTGATATTTCAGATTGTTTATGCAGAGGGAAGTGGAACAAAGTTAATGAAAGGATCAAGGGGGAAAATATATGACAGGCTCAGAAATCAGACTTGCTACACAGGAACAAAAAATTAAAAGATAAGAAGCTGGAAAATCCAGCCAGGGATAAAGGGAGGTCATGGCCCCTCATCTGAACCACACTGCCTTCCTCGTGCCCTTCCAACACACCTATCATGCTCCCTCCTCTGCGCGTGGCATTTGCTCATCTCTCACTTTGTAGGTCTTTACTTAAATGTCACCTCATCAGAAAGTTCTTCTCTTTTCTCTTTTCCCATCCTCTACCACCGTCTATCCCATGACCCACTTCACTTTCTTCACAGGATTTCTCACTTCCTGGCAAGATTAGATTTATTGTTGGTATCATCTATGTGAGCTCCGGGAGGTTAGGGACCAGTTGGGTCACTGCTGTCTCACCAGCCTAACATACTGCCTGGCACATTTCGGAAGTGTTCAAGGATTTGTCAATTAACAAATGAACTAAAACTCAAAAAGACATGCAAAGTGATACTGGCTTCATCCTAGAATTTACTGGGAAATAATATATATTTGTCAATAGCCTTTCACAGCAATAGCAACTTAATATGTACCAGGCACAGTGCTAAGCCCCAGGCTATACATCACCTCTCTGAATTTCTACCATGACTATTCATAAAGTAAATCTATTTTATCATTAAGGGTAGTAAAGCTCAGAGAGTTGAAAGAACCTGTTCAAAGTCACCAGGCTGGTTGACTACAGTATAAAAAGGAACTATAAAAAATGGTAATGCGACAATGGAGCAAACTGGAAGAAATGGCTACGACAAATTAAAAGGAAAAAAATGGGTAAACCTAAAAAATACATATGTGAAAGTGTTTCAAATGAAATAATTTGACTTGTTAGTGTGATAGGAATACAGGTAACCTTTAATTTTTAAAATTTTCTGTACTCTTGGGGCGCCTGGGTGGCTCAGTCGTTAAGCGTCTGCCTTCAGCTCAGGTCATGATCCCGGGGTCCTGGGATCGAGCCCCACATCTGGCTCCCTGCACCGCAGGAAGCCTGCTTCTCCCTCTCCCATTCCCCCTGCTTGTGTTCCCTCTCTTGCTGTGTCTCTGTCAAATAAATAAAATCTTTAAAAAAAATTTTTTTTTAATAAATAAATAAAATTTTCTGTACTCTTAATTTGTGTAATACTCATATATTACTTCCTGTCAAAATGCTAATTACTTCCCGTCAACTTTTCAAAATCCTTCAAAACCCAGTTTTCTCCAGGATAAAAACAAACTCCAGCCTGGCATTCTAGACCCCAAATGTTTCCAAATTTGTCTGGAACCAGTTTGTTCCTGGTTTAGATGTGATGGCTTCACTCATGTCCTAGCCTTCCCCTAGTCATCCCATCTTCTGCGATTATGCAAGCTTCATTTAATCTTCAGGAAGAACTAAAAGGATTACCACCACCACCACCACCACCCATCCACCCTTTAGACTCTGACCCTGAACATCAAAGGCACTACCATCACTGTATCATTCACTGACACTTCAGCCTCTGTCGTTATATGATAAATGAGTCTGTTTTTCATCTTCTGTGAGTTGGCAACCCCTTTCAGGCAACAGCTATACTTTACTACAAAGTACTCTTCAGCTTCTAGCACTCTAGAAAGCATGGGTAGCAAAAATCGATTTAGTGAACAACTCTGTAATGGGTAGAGAGGAAATGAAGGGACAACAGTGGGGAGAGGGCTCCTTTCTCTGTAAAGCTGCACCAATCCAGGATAGGCTCAGGCAACCTAATTTGGTCCATACACGGCAGAGCATCTTCCAGGCAAGAAGCATAAACCCGACTTCACTTTGAAACAGTGGCCATTTCTCGGGAAAAGCTGAAATCAAACTTGCCTGGATTTGGGGTCTTGGTAGTCTTGGGGCCATCTGTCTCCTGACCTGTTCTCCCAGGCAAGGGCAAAGAATCCTGAATAAGCCAATCTGGGAAAAAAGAAAGGAAATATGAGGAAGTCCCTCCATGTCCTAAACTAGCTAGAACTTGCTCTCTGCAAGCTGGACAAGACCAGTCCTCCACCCTCCCCACTCCCCACAAAGGTGGGTGGACACGTGAAGGTGGTTAAGGTCAGGGCCGGCTGCCTGGAATCTGGCCCGGCAGCAAGGCCAAGCTCTGGGTGTGAGTCAGTCAGGCACCTTCGCCAACACGGGTGGAAAGTCTCGTAGGTGACTCAATCTCTGGGCCTCAGCGCAAGCCTTTAAACTTTCGGTCAGGCGCCATATTCGGGCGGTCACTCGACAGGGCACCGCTCCTCGGGGTGGGGCCCCGGCCACATTTGCCTGTCCCCTCCTCAGCCGGCTCCTTCCAAGGCCGGCTCCCTGAGGAAAAGAGGGGTGCACCAGGTCTCAGGGCCCCAGCCCGGCGGCAGCGTTCCAGGACCAAGCTGGGCGGGCTGGGCCGCGAGGCTCAGCGCGCGGAAAAACTGCGACCACCCACGGCGGTACTGGCCGCGCAGATCCGCGAGCTTCCAGGAGCCTCGCTCCACGCACGCCGAGGCGGGCAAGGCCGGAAACGGAAGCGGCCGCGGGGGCCTCTGGGAAATGTAGTCTGGGATTCCGTCCAGGGTCTCAGTGTCTCCATCCTGTGCCTTTCTAGGTATCACTTGGGGTGCTTTGGAAAGCAGTGGGGCCTTGGTCCCAGCTTCAGAGATTCTGGAGTAATGCTCTGGGTAGTCCTGGCATCGGGATTTTTTTAACCTCCCACGTGATTCTAATATGCAGCCAAGACTGGCACCCAATGCTAGAAACATGCAAATCTATGAGACATGTTTTATGTTACTTTGGGACAGCTCTTTATGATTGATTCGTTTGCTTATTTGTTTCCAAGCAATCCCATTTTGATTTTAAGCAAAGAAAAAGCATGTTAGAAAAGTAGAACACCAAAAAACACTAAAAATTTCCTATTTGCTGACATAGAAGATGGAACAAGATTGAACCCATTTTTTTAAATGTGTTATTTTCTAGCAAAAAAAAAAAAAAAAGTACTACTTATAAACTCCAGGAATTGGATAGCTTAGTAAGGAAAGTGTATCTCTTTTTTTCAATTAGGACTTTTTATTTGGAAGACTATTTCTCAGAACGGGGCATTTATTTGCCAAATTAACAATGATTAACCAGTGCCCTGCTAAATGCCACTCACTATTCTAGATGCTAAGGACAGAGCACTTGATAAGGACTCCCTCCTTAACCAGACTTTGGTCAGGATCCTCTGAATCCTCTTCCATAAGACCTTGTGTTTGGCGTAGTAAGTCCAATTTTATCGAAGAATCCTCCTAAGCCAGTTCATCAAGAATTCCCCCACCCAGGGGGGCCTGGGTGGCTCAGTCAGTTAAGCGTCTACCTTCGGATGGGGTCATGGTGCCAGAGTCCTGAGGGACCCCGCGTCGGGGTCCCTGCTCAGTGCGGAGCCTGCTTCTCCCTCTCCCTCTGTCCCTCGGCTTGTGCTCACTCTATCTCAAGTAAATAAAGTCTTTAAAAAGAAAAAAAAAAGAATTCCCCCCACCCTTGGAATCCAATCAAGCTCCTCCTCCCCCACCCTTGATATCTAACCAAATTCCTATTCTGCCCTCCCCCTATCTTGATACCTAACCAATTTCTTCATAGTCCTTTTCCATTTATTCCCTCACCCTGTCAGTTGGCTATAAATCCCCACTTGTCCCTCTTGTACGGGGAGTTACAAACTCTCTTCCATATTGCAATGCAATAAAGTCTTGAATAGTCTTCTTTGCAAGTTTCAAAAGGTGTCAGTATAATTTCTCTTTAACACAGTGAACCAAACAAATAATGTCTGTCCCCTCAAAGATCTTACATTCAAATGGACATTTGGAAGAGGGAGATTCAACAAAATCAGGGTAAAGAAGTGAGAAGAGGATTCTTACTTAATCTAGAGCTGTAAGGACTGGCCCCTTTGATAAGAGATCATATGTGCAGAAGTCTTTAGGAAGTGAGGTAACAAAAAGGGGTATATCTGTGGGAAGTTAGTTTCAGGCAGATAAAACAGCAGATGCAAAGCCCCTACAGAGTGTACTTGGTTTATTTGAGGAACAGTAAAATGTCAAGGGGTTAGAACACCAAAGACAGGTAAAGGCTAGATCATATTTGTGATGATTAATTTTACATATCAACTTGATTGGGCTAAGGGACACCCAGACAGCTGGTAAAACATTAATTCTGGATGTGTCTGTGAGAATGTTTCCAGAAAACATTACCATTTGCATCAGTAGACTGAGTAAAGAAGATCTACCTTTACCAATATGGACAGGCATCATCCAATCCATTGAGAGTCCAGTTGAACAAAAATGTGGAGGAAGGATGAATTCTCTCTCTTTCTTCTTGAGCTGAGACATCCATCTTCTCTTGTCCTCAGACATCGGAGCTTCTGGTTCTTAGGCCTTCAGATTCTGGGACTTCCTCCAGCACACCACCCCTCCCTTCTCAGGCCTTCAGCCATTGGCTCCCCTGGTTCTCAGGCCTTCTGACACAGACTGAATTATACCTGCTTGCAGATGGCAGATCATGGGACTTCTCAGCCTCTATAAACAAATGAGCCAATTAATTAATTAATTAATTAATTACACATATACTATCATTCTGTTTCTCTGGAAGACCATGACTAATACAATATTGGTCCATTTAGTCCACTGCAAGGACACTGGCTCTTACTTTGAATGAGATAAGAAGCCATCAGAATGTGGGGAATTACAATCCTCATTCATTGTTGGTGGAATGATAAAATGGTGTAGCCACTTTGGAAAACAGTTTAGCAGTTCCTCAAAACTTTAAACATGGAGTTATCATATCACTCGGTGATACCATTCCCAGGTACCTACCAAAGAGAAATGAGAAATACATCTACACAAAAACTTGTACATAAGAGTCCATACCAGTGTTGCTCATAAGAGTCAAAAGTCCATCAACTGGCAAATGAATAAAAAAGTATGGTATATCCAAACAGTGGGATATTTGGCAATAAAAGGAAAGTATTGATATATGCTACATAATTGATAAACTTTGAAAACAATACTAAGCAAAAAAAAGATAGTCACAGTCGTTAAGCGTCTGCCTTCGGCTCAGGTCATGGTCCAGGGTCCTGGGATTGAGCCCCACATCAGGCTCCCTGCTCCAAGAAAAGCCTGCTTCTCCCTCTCCCATTCCCCCTGCTTGTGTTCCTTCTCTTGCTTTGTCTCTCTCTGTCAAATAAATAAATAAAATCTTAAAAAAAAAAAAATCTATAGCAACTAGCAACAATTCACAATAACTAGCCCAGGAAGCCAGCCTGCTTGTAGACTGACTTGTAAGAAATCAAAACATCATCTCTAGCCATCAGCCCAAGCAGCCAAACTATTAACCAGCCCCTAAGAGTCAGACGTTAATAACTGACAGTATCCCTTAGTTTTGTCCCCACTTCCAATCAGAGAATGCCAAATATACTCCCCTAACTAACCATATAGGATGCCCTCTTCTACTTAGCTACCTCCAGTTTCCCTTCCCAATGGCCTGCAATCAGGGCATACCCAAAGCCTTCCGTTTTTTCCACTCTGAAGCTTTACCACTCCACTGCCTTTGAGTCTCTGCCAAAATGCAAGGGATGGTAGCTACCTTGCTACAGCATGCTTTGAATAAATAGCCTTTGCTTATTCCCATTTGGTTAGTCTTCATTTTTTCCACAAATTCTTTTATATCTAATATCCAGTCCAAATCTGAATATCTCTAAGTGTCCCATAGATTTCTTTTATACCTAATTTGTTTGACTCAAAGGGGAACGCTTCAATCAGGCCTGGACCCTCTTTGGAAGTTTCTTGCTCCCTGGCAGACAAGTTGTCCGAGGCCTACACTATGCTTTGCCACAAACCAGCCACTTCTCCAAAGAGCCCTGGCTTTTTCAGTTTCCTGCCATCTTTTGGATTTACCTACAAACTGGAGCTTGTGAAGGAGCCTATGGAGCCTTAGCCCAGTTTCAAAGGTGTTCTCAGCTTCCTGCTGAGGAGTCCACTCAGAGTGGAGTTCTCTTCTTTGGGGACTGTGTTATGTGGTGGTAGTTTCTGTGTTCTGGGTTCCAGGATTCTCACTATTTTGGAACAGCTGCTGAAGCCCCACGGTGCTTTGACCTCACCTCTTCTGGTTGTGGGGGTACCCTGACTTTGGCTTTGTTGAAGATACTGTCCAGTGGGATGTTTCTCCTGCTATCCTAGGGACTCAGTCCATTTTTATGAGTGACTTGGAGAAATTCAAAAACTCTGCTGCTCCTGTTTCTCCCTCTCCCTGCACTGTTTCCCCCTGTTTGTGTGCTCACTCTCTCTCTCTGTCAAATAAATAAATAAAATCTTAAAAAAAAAATTTTTTTTAAGGGGCGCCTGGGTGGCTCAGTCAGTTAAGCATCTGCCTTCAGCTCAGGTCATGATCCCAGGGTCCTGGGATGGAGCCCCGCATCGAGCTCTCTGCTCGGCAGAGAGCCTGCTTCTCCCTCTCCCTCTGCTGCTCCCCCTGCTTGCGTGCTCTCAAATAAATAAATAAAATCTTTAAAAAATTAATTAAAAAAAAAATTCTGCTGCTATAAGGATCTCACCCTGCTTCTCATTTTTTTTTTAACAGATAAGGAAGGTTTAGAGAGGCCAAATAATGTGGTCTCGGTGTGTTCACATACAAAAAAGTTAATAATCTCTGCTCCCCTACTTCCCAGGACTGTTGTGAGAAATAAATGAGATAAAAGAAATGAAAAGTCAGAGATACAAGGACACAACAGGGCACAAAGGCAGACATTCCTGGAGCAGGTCAAACATCCTCCCACAGCTCCTCTGTCTCCAAGGGCATGCTGCTAGCAATCGCCACTCCCTAAATGTCAAAACAGGTAAATTAACTTGTACAGGGCACTGTGATGCAGGCCTTCTGCGCCTTATTTCCTGCAGTTCTCATGACAGCCTGAGAGGGGCAGCTTTCACAAGCCTCATTTTACAGAGGAGGAAATCAGCACTTAGTGACATTGATAAACCTGCCCATGGTGTCTTGTTTTCTGGTAGCGGAGCCTGTATTTACACCCAAGCAATCTCACTCCACGGCCCCTGCTTTAGCAATCTCATTCCACGGCCCCTGCCTTAGCAATCTCATTCCACCACTCCTGCCTTTAGCTGCTCTTGGTGCCTGAAGCAGAGAAGGTGTGGGTTTTCATGGAAGATGAGGGAAAGGCAGAGGACAGAGAAGGTGAGCCAGGAGGAGCTGGTAACTGAGCTGTTGAGAAGCTCTGTGCAGCTATTCTCAGTATCCTCTTTCTCTGAGGTAGGTGGCTAAGCCGAAGGCCGGGCTAGCTTACCAGATTGTAATTACCCACTTAGAGTCTTTTAAGGCATTCTTGGAAACATGTCACTCTTCTAGGGTTTCCAGATAAAATACAGGATGCCCAGCAACATTTGAATTTCAGACAAACATTACAAGGGACACACATCTCCTAAAAAAAAAAAAAAGTCATTCGTTATGTATCTGAAATTCTAATTGAGCTTGGCATTTTCATTTTCATCTAATTGAACTGGACATTTTCATTTGCTAAATCCGGCAACCCAACCCTGCCCGCTCCACACAGATCTTTTTTCTTTTACATTTCTATCATCCTAATACAACATCTAAATGGAACCTTTTTTTGGTTTTAAAGATTTCTAGATCTTTAGGGATACTCTATGATACATTTAACCTTGGATTGGGGTATGCTCCTTAAGTTAGCTACTCATTAGTATCTCTTAGTTGGCTGTGCCCGGTATCTTAGAGAAAGTCAACAGATACAGTCTGAAGAAAGGTGGGAAGTACAGCAACAACAATCAGGATGGAGAGGCTGATGGGGGAGAAGAGAGGATTCATAAAGCTGAAAACCGCTAAAACCCTCCCTCCCAGTGCTGGTGGAGCCATGTGGAGAAACAGCATTTTATGTGATGAGGTACATAGAATATAGTCGCTGAACGCTTCTGAATGAGTGAGTGCAGGAATCATGCGGAGGTGCATCTAGCAGCATGTACACTATAATGATGAGTTTCCACAGCCCTGGGGCCATCTCCCCCTCCCCCCTCCCCCCTTAGCAGGCAGCACCAAGAGCCCTTTATTACTGGGCAGGATTAACTTCCCTCCTTGCCCCTCCCTGCTTGCCTGGAGGCACTCGACCAATTCGCTTCTTTTCTCTGGGCCTTGATTCCCAGTCTGAAAAGAGGGCTGGATGAGACCCCCCTCATCATCCTCTTCATTTCTATGATTATACATCATTTGAGCACACCCTGGAGACAGTTTGGGAAATAGACGTGGAGACATTCTTAGAACTCACAGGGATCTGGACAGAGGGAGCTCTGTGATCCCCTGCTCCAGTCAGGAGCCAGCCTGGCTGGGGAAAGGGCTCAAATCCACATGGAAGCCCTGACCTCCCTTTTCCAGCTCCAACAGTGATTTCTCCAGCTTTCCTAGGAGTCCACTGTGACCGGACCTGCATCTGCCACCATCTTAATTGGCCTGCTATTTCTATGTTGGATTGATTCCCCCAGCAGGCTGGACTGGGAGGCAGAGCCCAAGGGGTCCAACAAAAGTTCCTTTCTTCATCTCTGTTCTGGCCTGTTGCATCTCTGATCCCCTGAAAAGATGAGGTGACAGATAAATGTGCTATAGTGAAAGTGCTTCCAATGCAATACCTAAGGTAATGAGTTTCAATCCTGACTCTGCCATTTACCAACAGCAGAATCTTGTGCAAGTCATGGCCCCTTTCTCTCTCATCCTCTGTGCCTTCAATTTAAGACAAGTGAGGAATAACCCCTATTCCCCAGTGCTTTAACAGGCAAGGATGAACGTTGGGCCCTAAGCCCAGTACAGGGCATCCAGGAGGAAATCTGTAAATCGAAGTCCCTCCACCTTTCTTTCTGTGTGTCTCCCAAGGGCTTTCCAGCTGAGGTCTAAAGACTGAGGTGCTCCCTGGCTGGTGCTCCTCCAGGTCCCAAGACCACAACAGGCAGAAAATGTAGACCCCAGATGGAGACCTCACAAGCTTCCTCCCAGAGCACCTGGCTCTCGCAACATGGAGAGCATCCTGGAAAGGAGGGCTTAGCAGGGCCTCAATGGCCTCAGGGGCCACATCATTACTGCCTTTCTCTGGGGTCTGGGTTGGAATCAGCTAAGGAGAGATGGCAAAAGGGTACTGGATAGGGGTGGGGCAAGACTAAAATAAGATAGAGGGAAAAAAGCACTGTTAGATCATCCACACAGCAGATCATTTACCTTGGAAAACAGATACAAACATTCCTATAAGCCTCAGTCCCGCTATTTAGGCAAAAGGCTCCTTACCATACTGTGAGTCCCCCAAATAGGGCTCAAGAAGGACTACTACTAACAACTCTACATTCATAAATGTGACAACTTGGAAGCAATGAACCTATTCCCTGAAAACCATAACCTACCCCGCCCAAAAATAGACAATCTGAATAGTTATAGAACTATTAAAGAAACTGAACTTGTAATTTAAGATAAAATCTCCAGGTTTACATTGTTTCACTGGAGAATTCTATCAAACATTTTTTTTTAAGATTTTATTTATTTATTTGACAGAGAGATAGAGAGAGAGCACAAGTAGGCAAAGAAGCAAGCAGATGGAGAGGGAGAAGCAGGCTCCCCGCAGAGCAGGGAGCCCGATGCGGGACTCGATCCCAGGACCCTGGGATCATGACCTGAGCCGAAGGCAGCCGCTTAACCGACTGAGCCACCCAGGCGCCCCTATCAAACATTTAAAGAAGAACTAACATAAAATTTTATACTATCTATTCCAAAAAATAAGAGGAAACATTTCCCAGCTTATTTTATGAGGCCATCACTACTCTGATAACCCAAACCAGGGTGAATCAAAACAAAACAAAACAAAACAAAAACTACAGAGCAATATCTCATTAATTTAGATGTAAAAATCCTCAAGAAAATATTATCAAATCAAATCCAGCAATGTATAAAAAGGATTATATACCTCAGCCAAGTGGAATTTATTCCACATATGCAACCAATATTGGTTCAATATTTGAAAACCCATTAGTATAATCTACCATATCAATACTAAAGAAGAAAAATACTAAGATCATTAAATTGATAGAAGAAAAAGCATTTCAGGGGCACCTGGGTGGCTCAATCAGTTAAACATCTGCCTTTGCCTCAGGTCATGATCCAGAGTCCTGGGATTGAGCTCCCCATCCCTCCAGCTCCCTGCTCAGCGGGGAGTCTGCTTCTTCCTCCCCCCTCTGCCCCTCCCCCCACTCATGCATGCACATGAGACTCTCTCTCAAATAAAGAAAATCTTTTTAAAAAAAAAGGAAAGAAAAAGAAAAGGCATTTCATAAAATCCAACAACTATTCATGATAACAACACTCAGCAAACTATGAATAGAAAGGAATTCCTCAAATTGATAAAGACCTAAAGTAACACCAAACTTAATGTTAAGATCAAACGCCTTCTCCCTAAGACAGTAACAAACAAGGATGTCTGCTCTCATCATCTTATGCATCATAGTACCGGAAATGCTAGCTAGTGCAATAGGTCAGAAAAAACATAAAGGGGATACAGATTGGAAATAAAGAAGGAAAATGATCTCTAATTATAGATGATATTATTCTCTATGTGAACAATGTCAAAAAAGCATTTAAAAAAGAAAGCCCTCCGATAACCACTAAGTTCAGCAAGATCACTGGGTCCAAGATCAACATAAAAATTAATCAATTTTCTATATACTAAATAATAAACATGTGAAAACTGAAAATAAAAAACAGTATCATTTATGATCTTTCCTAAGAAAATTACTTAAGTATATACTTAACAAAACATCTACAGAATCTATATCCTGAAAATTACAAAATCTAAGACACTGCCATTAGAAGAAACTAGGTGAAGGATACAGGGACCTCCATTTTTTCCAACTTCCTGTGAATCTATAATTATTTCAAAATAAAAAGTTTTTAAAATATATGAACTGAAAAAAATTTGAGAATTATAATGTACTCTCTCATGGACAATAATGGGTGAGAGTGTAAGCACATGCTGTGTATGAATATGGTTGTGTGGGAACATGCTTGTGAAGGGGTACAGATTGTATTTATGTATATAGTTTGTGTGAATGAGTATGGGGTATATGTTTGTAGGCAGGTTGATCACTGTCAGCAGAATGCCATTCAGCATACATCCCAAGGTCTCAGCACCACCCTGGGAGGAAATTCTCCAGGGATCATTCTCCAGGGATTCTAAACTGTGCAGAACACAACGTGAATATTTTTGTCCCCATAACAACCCCTGCTGAGGCCTCTCAACTCATCCCTACAAACACCTCCTGACATTTTCTAAGAACAATGCACCACATTTCAGTGATAATTATCTTCAACCATATAGAACTCTGGAAAGTTCCTGGAACAGTTTAACCCCTTTTGCCTTCCTGGCAGTTTCCTTGAAAAGGGCTGTGATTACTGGGTCCCTTTCATAAATGAGAAAACCAAGTCTTGAAGGGGAAAATTACATGGAAACATAGGATAATTATAAAGGGAGTCAACTGTGAAAAACATGTGCTTTGGAATATTTTTTAAAAACCCAAAATCTGGATTTGAATCCATACTCTACCCTTATTATGAGATTGGAAAACATATTATGAGACACTAAATATGCTTCTTGAAACTTTTAAAATGTAAAACCTGTAAAATGGGGTCACACTACCTACCTCTCAGTAAAGTGTATGGAAAAAATACGTAAGATAAAGGTATGGTATTTGGCATATATATGCTAATATTTGCTTAATTTGTTAAAAGACATAGACAGAACCAGGATTTTCTCTGGTATCTGGGCAGGCTGCCATTCTTGTCTTTCCTCTTCCTCACCACATTAAGAACATGTTCTTCCAAGTGGGCCTTTTCCTGTTCCAAGCAATCAGCAGAATTTGAGAACAACTGTTGCCCTGTTAGTCAGGATATAAGTCTCAGGTCTGTCCTCAAATCCTTCTGTTAACCATCTGACCCTACCTCTCTCCCTAGAACTTTAGGCTAGACTTCTAGATGGTTCCATCCACACCAATCCTACCCCGGGGGCGGATTTTTAGAGGAAAAAAAGCACTGCCCTGACAAGAGGCAATATCTTGGTTTAACAGGATTTGCCAATAACAAGTTGAGTGACTTCAGGAAAATTCCATTTTGTCTTAGTTTTCTACATCTATAAAATGGTGATAGTGTCAGAAAGATAAAGTTCTTCATTGCACATTATAAAAGTCAAAATAATCCAGGTAACATATAGTCTTAGGTTCTTGGAAAGTAGGAATCAGAGTCATAAATGATACATTTCAATGCTCTAATTGGTTTTTATATGAAAGCACAATAGATGGTTTACATACTCCAAATAGCATTACTTCCAACTGCAGGCCTTTCTCAGATGGCTGCCATGTTCTTTACAGGATTGGAGATCAGCTTTTGCTGTTGAAGTAATATTTGAGAACCTCTGGATGGACAGAAAAAAAGTTCAGCACTTTGGTAGGTGATGTCAGAAATCCTGTGGACAGCAGATTCATGGGCTAGCATCTATAGAGAGAGTCCATCTAAAGTCCATTTTGATAACTGCAAGTTGACTATATAATATAAACTCTGTAAAATTTGTTGACATTTTATCATTTTTAATAGGATTTTTGTGACTTTTTCATGTTTTTTAAAAAAACAGTTATTTTCTGCTTTGGGGGTCTACTATTCTATATTTACCTACTAAATCAGGCTTAACTGTATTTTTCTGATTTTCCATATCCCAAGCAGATTTGTGCTGGCTTGATTTTTTTTTTTTTTTTTTTTTTTGTAAGAGGTGTGTCAAAATACCCAAGGTTTATAGTAATTTGTCAATTTCTCCCATTCTAAACATTTTTCATTTATAGATTTTGAACACAGGATATTGAAATCTAATGGTGACTTTTCCATTAGATTGGTGGGGAAAAACACCTAATTGCAGTGGATTCAAGAGAATGGGAATTGGAAACATCTCTTAAAGACAATTTTTTAAGGAGTTTTGCAATAAAGAGAATCAGAGAAATGGGGTAGTAGCTTGAGAAATGGGATGAAGGACAAAGGGATATTTTATAGAAGATACTACAGCATATTCATTAGTATGTTGATGATTCGGTATGGAATGAAAAACTGGTGATACAGAAGAGAGAGAAGAATGCCCTCATGTGTGAGAAAGGGGATACAATTCAGGGTGCAAATGGAGAGTTGTCTTAAATAGGAACTGAGGCTGTTCATTCAGAATGGGAAGCAGAGCATACAGATTCCAGTGGAGAACGGTGGGCAGATGGACTTGTAGGACAGTATAATTCTCTTAGTTCTCTTTTCTCATAGAAAGCAAAGTCATCAGCTGTGAGTGAAATGGGAGAAAGAGTTGTCAGAGGCTTGAAGAGTGAGGAGAAGCTGTGAAACTGTTAAAAGAATGTATGGACTAAGCAAATGTAGTAGGATAGCTGGGCAGCATTAAAGGCCCACTTGACCTTAGTGGTCATAAATTGAAAGTGAGACCAATCATCATGGCCATGTGTTTCTCTCAGGCCACATCTACTACACAAGTGCAAGCACAGAACAGGCAGAGAATTGGATTCAACCAGGTTTGGTGTTTTATCGGCAGAATATAACCAAGTGAGACATGGGCAAGGGAGTTGACAGTATATGCAAAGGACTAACCACAGTGATGAGCCATGGCCTCTAAATTGGATGAGGAGGTAACTGAGAACATCAGAAAGTGAGAGTCAGGGCAAGGGTGACAGAATCAATGGATCAGGGAATATTTAGGAGAGCACTAGGGCCCTGATACTTTGTGTTCCCCAGACAAAAGGTAGGAAAGCAACTCAGAGGAGGAGCCTCTCCAAACATGGTAGGTCACCCAAATGTGTCCCTGTCCTAATCCGAAGAAACTGAATGTTACCTCATACAGCAAAAGGGACTTTGTGAATGTGATTAAAGATCATGATGTAGGGAAATTATCCTGGATTATCCAGGTGGGCTGATGTAAGTCCTCACATCAGTCCATAGAAGAACACAAGAAGACTCAGTGCAAGAGAAGGTAATGTGATGACAGAAGCAGAGATTGGAGTCAAGCACTTTGAAGATGGAAGTAGAAGCCACAGCCAAGGAATAGAGGCTATCAAATGTACTTTGAGAAAGACAAGGAAACAAATCCTTCTCTAAGCCTGCAGAAGGAACCGGCTGCTCTGATGCCTTGACTTTAGCCCAGTGAAACTGATTTCAGACTTCTGACCTCCAGAACTGTAGGAAAAGAAATTTGTGGGGGTTTTTTGTTTTTTGTTGTTTTGTTTTTTGTCACTAGGTTTGTGGTAATTTATTACAGCAGCATTTGGAAGCTAATACACTAACGAAGGGGGAAGATACAGAGGAGAGGTCCAGGCAACAGTTAACTCCCAAAATAAATCTGAAGGGAAGGTCCTGGGGAGAGTTGGGAGTGGCCTTGTGCCCCTCAGGAAGGGGTGAAGGTAATGAAGGTGCAGCCTGGGAGAATTTTGTTGCTCTCCCCTTGAAGGCTGTAATAATTAAAAGGGTCTCAAGGGGGCAGGGTTTGTTTCTCTGGTAAATTTATTGGTTTTTTTTAAAGATTTTATTTATTTATTTGACAGAGAGAGAGAGAGAACAAGGAGGCAGAGAAGCAGGCAGAGGGAGAGGGAGAAGCAGGCTCCCTGCTAAGCAGGGAGCCCGATGCCAAGCTCAATCCCAGGATCCTGGGATCATGACCTGAGCTGAAGGCAGAGGCTTAACCAACTGAAGCCACTCAGGCGCCCCTTCTCTGGTAAATTTATGATACACAGTAAGTACTATTGTATTTTTAAAAGCAAACTGTAGGCCCATACATATGGCATGACCCCATGTTGTTTAAAAAGTATGTGTGTGGGGCGCCTGGGTGGCTCAGTCGTTAAGCGTCTGCCATCAGCTCGGGTCATGATCCCAGAGTCCTGGGATCGAGCCCCACATCAGGCTCCCTGCTTGGCGGGAAGCCTGCTTCTCCCTTTCCCACTCCCCCTGTTTGTGTTCCCTCTCTCGCTGTGTCTCTCTCTGTCAAATAAATAAAATCTTAAAAAAAAAAAAGTATGTGTGTGCATAAATAGTTGCCTGTGTACATTTAAGAAAGAGTTCTGAATGTCGCGAGACTGATTACTTCATCTCAGTAGTTTTGCTCCAATAACCCCTATTTAAAACTGCAAAGCAGCGGTGCCTGGGTGGCTCAGTCGGTTAACCGTCTGCCTCCGGCTCAGGTCATGATCCCAGGGTCCTAGGATTGAGCCCCGCATCTGGCTCTCTGCTCAGCGGGAAGCCTGCTTCTCCCTCTGCCTGCTGCTCCTCCTGCTTGTGCTCTAATAAATAAAATCTTAAAAAAATAAAACTGCAAAGCATATCTCAACACACACCAACACCCCTTAATCCTCCAACTCGGCTCTACTTTTTCTGTAACACATATCACTTTATAACACACTATACCATTTATGTATAAACAAGTATTGCTTCTTTGTCCCACTAAAATTTAATATCCAGGGCGCCTGGGTGGCTCAGTCTTAAGCGTCTGCCTTCGGCGCAGGTCATGATTCCAGGTCCTGGGATCGAGCCCCGCATCGGGCTCCCTGCTCCGCGGGAAGCCTGCTTCTCCCTCTCCCACTCCCCTTGCTTGTGTTCCCTCTCTCGCTGTGTCTCTGTCAAATAAATAAAATCTTAAAAATAAATAAATAAATAAAAATTTAATATCCACAGTGATTTTTAAGTTCCTGGAACATAGCAGGCCCTCATGTTTGCCAAATGCATGAACTTTGGAGCCGAATTGGTGATGCTGAGTAGCATATATTCGTTTAAGGCAAAAACAAAATTAGAGCTGATATTTACGTTCTTTTCACGCCAGTAGGACTTCAGCAAAATAAAAAACCCTTTAATGGGTATTCCTAAAATAATTCTTACGCGTTTGTTTAACAACAGCAACAAAAAAAAGTAAGGGAACTTGAACAAATTAGCCTCTAACCTCAAAGAACAGCGAACAAGCAGACGCCGGCGTAAAGCAACAACCCTCGGCGTCACAGCCCGCCAAGTCCGGACCAGCGCCGGAAGCGTGCGTCGGAAATGGGCGTGGCCATCCCCCAGCTTTCTGGGACTTGTAGTTCCGAGCCCGTAGGAGCGGGTGCGGGTCAGTGTCGGGAGTCCTGCTTTTCCAGGTATCGTATTCCACGTGGGAGGTGAGACGTGCGGGACAGGACAGCCAGCGCCGCGGGCAGGGAGGCGTCTGGTGGTTGGGATGTGGGAGTGCCTCGGGGGAGGTGCAGGGCCGCTGAGATCCGGAAACCTGGTTGGGCTGCTGTGGGAGGGCGCGCGACCTGCAGGAGGTGCGGCCCGGGGTCGCACGTGCGTCCGAGCGTCGCGACCGCCGCTCTGTCCGCCGGACCTGACTGTGATCACCTGAGTCTAAGCGCCCCCAGCGCAGAAGTGGCTGCGGCTCCGAGGGATCCATCCTTCGCCCGGCTGAGCTCTGACTTTGGCCGGCCTGGAGGCTTCGTAGTTGGTCGCACCGGCCATTTCTGTGCCGGTGACTGGCCTTATTCCACGGTTTTCGGTGGACGTTAGGCGACCTAGAGGGGCCTCTTTGAGGGACCGAGGTTTCTGTCCCCACAACACTGTCCTCCCACCCCAGAAATGAGGCAGGTCAGGGAAGGCACCTCAGGGAGTCGAAATCCATTCTGAGGCAAAGCATCCAAGCCGAGAGCTCCTACCGGTCTTTCTCGAACTTTAGGGCAGAAATCAGAAACCCTGAGGAAATTGACACATCTTAGTGTTGCTGGGGGCAGCGGAATTTATTCACCCTCGTGGGTTTGGCGGGGAGGCTTGGACTGTTTAATCCAAAACCCTGTGGAGAGAGGCGAGGGAGGTGCAGCCTGGGGGAGACTAGGAAGGCATCTCAGGAGAGAGCGTGTGAAGGGTTGACTGAAAAGAGGTTAGTAGCAGGAGCAGAGTAACTTTTTTCCTACAGTCTTGCTGGACTGGCTACTCTGTATCCTGCAAGGTGGACTTGATATTCATGGCTTTTTCTCTTTCTCTAACTCTACTTTTCCAGGATTCTGTCCTTCCTGAGAGGAGGAAATGACCAAGTTCCAGGTGAGTTGGGGTTTCTTCTCTGAAAATGCCATCTCTCTGAGAATGAACATAACCTTTCTTGCTTGGAACAAAGGAAGAACATCAGCATTAATTGACACCTATCTGGTGTCAGGTCCTGTGTTTGTTCTGTACTTTATTTTTATTGTCAGACTTCAGTGTGAGACATACATTTTATAAATATGGGTGTAAGAACATTAATATACTGAGGACATGTAGCTATCAAATGATGTGGCCAGAGTCTGCACATGTGGCTGCTTACTTTAAATTCCACATCATTTTTACTGAACCACCCTCCCTCTATGAACTTGGCCCACTCCCCAAAGCACTCAGCTATTCTATTGAAAGACTCCACACAGCATCTTTGCCTGGTTCTCTCTCAAAGTCACCCTTTTCCTGCCAAGACATTTCACTCATATTAAAAGTTATTCAGTTATCACATGCTCTGGCCAGTGTTCAGTAGTCTCAGGAAGACAAACAATTATAAATTATGGTGCTTTTCTTCATGAGCAGATTCCATGTATGAAAAAAATAAAATATACATATTAACAATAACCATTTATTAAACATTAAAAAAATTTGTTAAATGCCAGCGCAGTAGTTACCAAATCAGTCCCAGAAATGCTTCTTAACCAAGATATTCATCAGAGTTATCTGTGGTGTTTTTTAAGAATTAAGAGTCGTAGGCACTTCCCCCAACCCCAAACCTACTAAAAGAATTTCAATTTTTTTTAATCCCATTGGCCTTTGTACACCCAACGATTTGTTGGATTTATTGTGAGATATTTCTCTACATACTCGATGTGAGCATCATTAAGGTAGGTAAGATGGGTTATTCATCTTTTATGCTTTGATTGCTTCATTCCCTTTACCAACATATCTACATGTTTAATTGGTACAATAAATTGTTAAATTACCGAGGAGCACTTTTTAAGAAACTGATTACTCATTTGTCTCTATAAAACCATTCCTAGAAAGTTACCTCAAGATTGACACTTAGAATCATAGAATGTTGGAAATGGAAGGGATCAGCCAGCCCCCTCTCTGCCTTGGTGCTGGCATTTTACCAAGGAGAGCTCTAATTCTGAGAAAGCTGAAGGCAAACACCGTGTCCTCTGTTGCAGAGCAGCAGAGTCAGAGGAAAGCCCATGTCTTCCAACTCCATGCTATTCCCTCTCCAGAGCTAAAGAGGTCAATTACACCAGAAGTTCCTTGAATGAAATATCAGGCTGGATTTTAAGGAAGAAACAATTGTTTCTTAACACCACTACCAGCAAACTTGCTTGGCAAATACAGTTCTTATATACATAGAAAGAGAACATGAGCTCTTATAAAAATGGGCTTAGAAGGCAGTAAGCTGCCTCAAGGTCCTGAGAATGCCATCTCTGTGCCTTGAAAAGGAATTGAGGACTTCAAGGGAAATTAATGTGAATAAGACCCTGTGCTCTCTGTATTTTCCTTCCTTTTTCCTCTACCTGGTCCCTGATGAAGATTGTTTATCACAACGATGGGGATTGCTAATATAGTGAAATTTTGAGATTCTGGTATATGTTAATAACTTGAATTTAAAGAAAGGATTTCATTCCACCGATATTTATTGAGTGTTCTCTTATAAACCAGACATTCTCCTTGAGTCTGCTGAAAGGCAGGAGTCCCAATTTAACCCCTCCCTTTGTGACCTTGAGTAAGTCACTTCACTATCATGAGCCTTGGTTTTCTCATCTGTAAAATTAAGAGTTTCCTTTGATGATCCTGAAGTTCAGTTTTACTTGTATCTTTTCATTATTCATTTAAGTTGAATGTGAATTTATAAATATCATTTAGATTCCTAGTCAGTTGAGCTAGTTGCTGGGGATTTAAAGATTAGCGGAACATGGCCCCTATCCTTTAGAATCTTGTAGCTAATTTGGAAGACAGATTTTATAGCTTTGGTAGAGAGATGGGAAAAATACTATGAGATCTTGGAGGAGGAAACATTTAACTTATCTTCATGCTTCAGAAAGGCAGTTGTTGATTGTCCTGAAACTAGAAGGAGTTGCAAAATGGATGTGAGAAATACAAGTCAAGGCAGAAGCAGCATGTAAAGGGCTATTCTAGACTACAGCATGACATCTGGTTGACTGCAGGTAATCCTCTGTGATGACAGATCTTGTCCACCTCCTGACTTCAGCATTACTGTTTCCTACCTCTAAGTAAATTGTTGGATCCAGCGAGGATGGGCTCTGAAAAGGAAGTGGAAAGCCACATGATATATGTAGTTTTAAAAAGTTGGAAATTTGTCAGGTGGGAACAGGAAACTACTAGTCCCATGACCTTCCCCTTTGGTTGGCCTTCAGGATACTGAGTCCACCTTGGGTGTAACTTATTAGCTCCACTGATAGGGGGGCGGGGGACACGACTCTTCATTATTCAGATTCCTTCATTCCCCCCTTTGTCTTTAGCAGAACCACTATTTTCTTTCCCTTTTCCTTTGTCACACTGATTCCTTTCATTTGGCCCACTGTTCCACCATTTCTTATCCAGTAATCTCCAATCTAGTCCATCAATATGTCATTTCAAAAAAAAAAATTTATATATTATATATATGTGTATGTGCCCTTTCCATTCTTGGCATGGAATTCTCCCCACCACTTTGTGAGATCTTAAAAAAGTAATGATTCTGTCTTTCAGTCTATGGATTGAAAGATGACAAAACTTGTACTTTAAAGACTTGGTAAGGAGTTATTGTGGTCTAGGTATGAAATGAGGGCCTTACATGGAACAGTGGCAGTGAAAATAAAGAAGAGGTAATACTATGGTGGGAGATTTGGGACATGAGTTGACAAGATCTGAAGTGGTTTGAATATTATTGAGATTGGGTAGGAGTCTTAGACCATCCAGATGACTGAGTGGAAAAATGAATCAGAAATGAAAGGGAAAAAAGATAATTGATGGACTTGAATTTCAGAAGGAAGAAAAGGATTGGAGCTAGAATGCATCAGGAGAGGTTAGCCTTGGACAGAAAGAAACCTTGTTCTCTGAGGCTGAGAAGAAAGTCTGATTGAGAGGAGTGGCTAATTCTACTGCTCCGATGTACCCCAGGCGCTGTTGTCCTAGTGGGTGTATGTATGGCTCCCTGAGGCAGCAACCTACACTTCTACCCCTTCTCTGTCCCACCTTTGCGCAGGGACTTGCAGGCTTTTTTTTTTTTTTTTTTTAACATTTATTTATTTATTTTAGAGAGGGGGAGAGAGAGAGCGCATGGCGGGGTAGGGGCAGAGGAAGAGAGAGAATCCTCAAGCAGACTCCCCACTGAGCATGAAGCCCAACACGGGGCTCAATCCCAGGACCCTGAGAGCATGACCTGAGCTGAAATCAAGAGATGGATGCTTAACCAACAGCCACCCAGGTGCCGCTGGACTTGCAGGCTTCTTGAGCCCAATCTCATCTCTTTCACCTCAGACACAGTGGATACCCAAGACCTTGAGAGGAGAGCTTGGGAGGAAACTGCCACCTTTCCTCATCATTACCTTCTCCACTGGTGATAAGTAGGGTAGTCCTGTCACTCCTGCAAACAGCCTGGTTTTCTTCAGATTCCTGAGGAGCGTGTGAGTAGTGCCCCTTCAGCTTCAGGCCTGAGGTGTTGGGAGTTCTGAAGGTTATCAGGTACTTCCCTGGCCCAGAGTTGAGCTGCTTCCTTGGCTTCACTTGGTTCTTAGTCATTTTGTGTGTATTCTGTCATTCTGCTTTTCAGGGTGTGGCCCGAAGGCTGGTGCCAGTCCACAGACTGCTGCTTGTTACCAGTCTGCAAAGACATAAGGAGAGAAACTAAAGAGTGTTTAAAAATGTTATGTCCGTCAAATCTAATATTTTTTAAAATGGCATTGGTATTTTATACATCTGGGTTTTTATTTCTAGTAACTCTTTTTTATTGTATTTTGTAAAAATATCTGACAAAAGTGTGACATATTAGAAACTTTTTAAAATAAACT